TTGAAGAAGCTGAGCTGCGGCAAGAAAGTAATGATAAGAATCAGGATGGTATTGATGTAGGTTTTCCGAGCACCAACAAGTCTGCTGTTAGACGCTATCCTAGTGAACAGTTGCCGGTAGAGAGCAGGAGCTCTCAGTCATCTAGCAATGAGAACAAGTTACGTCAAGCGCCTCGCGATAAATCTGCGACGAGGAGGATCGGAAATGCAAGCAACAGCGAACGTCATCATGGTTCTTATGACCAAGTTGACGACCGCCATAATGACGCTACTGCAATCAATCCGCCTAGAGGGGGAAGCCGTACTGGATACGCTAAGGAGATTGGTGCATCGGAAAGTTTTGATACGGAGAAAAGAAGTTATAGGGAGGATGGCGCAAGGGCTAACCCGGTTATGATCCATGCACTACCACAGCGGAAGAAACTAGCGAGCAAGATCACTTCTCCGGATATGCAAGCCAATGTTACGCTTCGTGATCGAAGTGCGATGCGTTCTTTGACGTTTTCCACGCCGGCTATTGACACTGAAAATGATGATCCAGGAGTTATTGCGGCGTTGACAGATATGGACTTACCTTTAAACAAGGATGGGGAAGGATTGGACGAGGAGGATGACCTTTTTGATGAGGAGCTAATGGAGTTGGAAATTCCTAAGGAGAGACATACTTCACGTCATAAGGAGGCCGTTCGAAGCTCAAGAAGTGTTAAGGGCTCAAGAAGTGGGAACAGACGAACTCCAAAGAAGAAAGAGGTTTTACGCAGGGGGTCCCCACGGCTGAGGGTCCTAAGCTCTTCAGTCAATAAACAGTCTGGTGATAAAGGCAACGCTCGGAGCTCCAGTCACAGAGCTAGGAGGGAGAGATCCAAGTTTCACAAAGAGGATGGTTCGATGGGGTCCAAAAACCCATCCAACTTTCATCCATGAAGACACTCAGTTGGAACTGTCGAGGAATTGGGACTAACCTCACAGTTCGACGCCTTACGGAGATGTGTCAGAAGCATCGCCCAGGACTAGTGTTCCTTTCTGAAACTAAGAACAGGAGGCTGCTGTTGCAAGACATTCAGGCCGACTTAGGATTTGATCGTTTGTTTACCGTTGAGCCAAATGGGCTTAGCGGTGGTTTAGCTTTATTTTTTATGGATGATTTTCAAGTTAAAGTTTTATTTTCGAATAATAGAATGATTGACATTGAGGCAGTCATTGATGGAATAAAAGTCTTTATGACATTTGTTTATGGGGATCCTGTTGTAGAACGAAGAGAACTAGTTTGGGAACGTCTTACGCGTTTCTCAACAACAAAAGATGGACCATGGTTTATGATTGGTGACTTTAATGAGATCACTTGTCATGAAGAGAAGGAAGGAGGGAGACAACGTACGGATAGTTCGTTCCTACCTTTCAAGCAGATGCTTAGTGATTGTGGCATGCTAGATTTCCCTTTCACAGGGAATATGCTGTCATGGGTAGGAAGAAGAGCAGGAAATGCAACTGTAAGATGTCGGTTGGATAGGGCAGTAGGGAATGAAAACTGGCATGAGAAATTTCCTCATTCGAAAGTGCAGTATCTGAGGCTATGGGGTTCGGATCATCGTCCAATCCTGGCTGACATTCTGAAAAAGAAACCACGAAGATCGAAGAACTTTAAATTTGATAAACGTTGGCTTCAGAATGAGGAACTCAGGCAGATTATACTCGAAGGATGGAAATCACCAGATTTACCACCAGGGGCAAGTATTATGGAGCACATTGTAAGCTGCAGGCGGGCGTTATGTGATTGGAAGAGACAACATAATCTGAATTCAGAGAAAAGTGTAGAGGAGTTAAAGGAAAAAGTGGATCGGTTATCCTCCAATGATGATGCCACTACGGAGGAGATAGCGGAGGCTCTAAAAGAATTGTCTGATGCTCTTAAGGCGGAGGAGTTATTCTGGAAGCAGAAGTGCAGGGTGTTCTGGTTACGGGAGGGAGATCGAAACACAAAGTTTTTTCATGCTTTAACGAAGCAGCGAAGAGCGCGGAATAGGATAACCCAACTTTTAGATGCAGAGGGGAACATAGTGGAGGATGAGGAAGGTCTGGTAGCCATTGCTACCAGTTATTTTTGGCATATCTTCCAATCATCAAACCCTGAGGATATTGAGGAAGCACTTTCAGAAGTAACCACTACAATTACACCTGCTGACAATGAGAGGCTCATAGCTCCAGTCACGGAGTGGGAGGTCAAATTAGCTTTGTTTGCTATGCATCCAGAGAAAGCTCCTGGACCTGACGGAATGACAGCGTTGTTCTATCAAAATTTTTGGGATATCGTCAAGGATGATTTAACTCGTATGGTTAATGAGTTCTTATTTCACGGCTCTATTCCGACAGGACTCACTGACACTAATATATGCCTTATCCCAAAGGTGGATAAGCCAAATCAGATGAGCCAACTGCGACCCATTAGTCTCTGTAATGTCTGTTACAAGATTATATCAAAGGTCTTATGCCAAAGATTGAAAAAGGTTCTTCCCGATAGGATTTCTGAAACCCAGTCAGCCTTTGTTGCTGGAAGACAGATATCAGATAATATAATGATTGCCCAGGAGTTATTTCACGCTTTAAGAACAAAACCAAGTGGGCGCAGTAAGAGGATGGCTATCAAGACAGACATGAGTAAGGCATATGATCGTATGGAATGGTCTTTCATCGAAGCCACCATGAGGAAGATGGGTTTCTCTGAAATCTGGATTACTTGGATTATGCGCTGCATAACGACAGTAAAGTATAAGGTACTCATGAATGGACAGCCAAGAGGAAACATTGTCCCGGAGAGAGGTCTCCGGCAGGGGGATCCCTTGTCCCCTTTCATCTTTATTCTATGCACGGAAGCGCTCGTTAGCCTTCTTAATCACGCAGAGAATCAGGGAAAGATAACGGGGATGCGCATCACGCGTGCGTGTCCTTCGGTGTCCCACCTGTTATTTGCTGATGATAGTCTGTTTTTCTGCAAGGCGGAGCCCCGTGAATGTGAAGAAGTGATGAAAGTGGTGACAAAATATGGAAGAGCCTCGGGTCAGTGTATCAATTTCGACAAGTCTTCCTTACTCTTTGGTAAGAGGATCGGTCAAGAGGTTAGGCAGGATATCAAGGACACACTTGGGATACAGAACGACACAGGAATGGGATCCTACCTAGGGATACCAGAGGATATCAGCGGCTCGAAATGTAAGCTGTTTGCTTTCTTGAAAGACAAACTTCGGAACAGAGTGAATGGATGGACGGGTAGATGGTTGTCTAAAGGAGGAAAAGAAGTGATGATCAAGTCAATCTTGTTAGCTCTTCCAACATATGTTATGTCTTGTTTCTTGCTCCCATTGGAGATTTGTGACGCCTTGGCTAGTGCCATTGCACAGTTTTGGTGGAGCT